GAAGAATGCAAGTCCCAATGAAAAGGGTTTTCCCCCCCTCCTGGCCAAACCAGATGGGACTATTCTTTCTTCTCCTGTTGGATAACCCAGCAGTGATCTTGGGAAAGGCTTCATTTAAATCAGAGAAGGTTGCCCTGGCCAGGTAGCTTAATAGGAACAGAAGTGCCTTTTTGAAGAAAAAGATCCTTCGGGGTTATTTTTCTTTGAAGAAATCAGTGGTTCTTGAGGCTGATTAGAGCTTCTCATGATTGGTCTCCTGAGTCTTAATCACAAGCACTGACGGCGGAGGAATCGTTTTCAACGGTTTTTTGGGGCTTTATTTTTCCTTGGGAAACACGCTGGCCTACCTCACTGATGATGTAAAGTACCATGGGCAAATTATCCTAATTTGCATTGGAAAAAGCTCGCCACATTTGCTGGGGGGAAAATCCGGTTTGAAGACTTCAGGAAGACCCACAATCCCTAGCAGGAGCGAGAAGAGTCAATAGAAATGATACTTTAATCCATATTTGATAAGCTTTAAAAGAGATAGAGTTGTGTGTTTATCTCTATCTACCTACCTATCTTTGTGCCTTCTGAATGGACCAGAGTTCCCATAAACCCTAGTTAGCATGGACAAAGTTATGAATTCCTTCCTGCAGATTATGAAAGGCTGAAGCTTAACAGTTACCATATAATCCGTTATAGGTGTATGGAAGTTAGTTGCGTTGTGCGCAAGGGGGCTTCCGTAGTGTGAAAGCCCGTGGAACTCATGGCCACAAGATGCGCTGAGTTTCCAGGCCATGGAAGCTGCTGGATGCCGAGACTGAGAGTTGATTTCGCTACCCCCGTGTTCAGTACTCCGGTAAGAAGGGGGTCCCAAGAAAGAGATTTCTCGTGACTGGCTCCCCATTCCTTTAAAACCAACTAGAGAAACCAGAATCCTGCTCTGCTTGACCCGTTGTGCCCTGACAACATTTCGCTGTTACGGCCCTTCCTGTTCAAAGGTGGTATGAACTCCAAGGACCATAAGCCTTAAGTGAAGAACAGGATAAGGGAATCCGTGGTGGCAAACAGGGAGGCTGGCTGGTTGAGGACCTCTCCAGGACTTTCCTTGGTGGGCCAGTGGTGAATTTTAGATTATAAACTCCTTGGAGCAGGAGTCTGTCCGCTGCTATTCCATCAATTTTCTTGTACATCGGTATTCTATGAACTGTTATTGCCGTAGAACAGTGTTTCTCAACCTTGGCAACTCTAAGGTTGAGAAACACTGT